CACATTACTGTGTTCCAGGTAGTACTGTTTATTATCTTAATCTTCATAACAACTCAAGGAGGGTTGTCCCATTTTTATTGAGGTACCCAAGACATGGGAGATTAATTTGCTTAAAGTACCAGCTAAGTCTGATTTCCTTCACTGCCATGCTACACTGGCCTCACCTGACTCTAATTTAAAAATTCCTCAAAATTATACCTCCTACTTATCTTTAGTATCTCTGGTCCTTTTCTACATAACTGTGGTAAAGTCTACCCAAGTCAGGTTGAAAGATCTAAACACTTTTTAAAACTTTTAAGATAAAATTAAAAAAATTTAGCTATCATTTTGACCTCTTTAAAAAATTATTTTTAAAATGTTATATAAGCCATATTGCAGTGCTTTCTGGCAACTTATCAGTTTATGAATTTACTTTGTAGAGTGTAATTATAATCTATGATTTCCCTGATAGAAGACAAATTAAGTGAAACGTTAAGATAGTGTGCATATTTTCAGACATCAAACAGAAACATTTTCCTGCCTGCCCCCCAACACACACACACACACACACACACACACACACACACATTTTTCATACCTAAGTGATGTATCCCCCAGAGATGTGTCCCACCCCTATCCCCTGCTCCTGAATTCTTTTCCTTTTAACATATTTCAAATGTAATAATAATTCGGTACCATTTGCATTATTTGGTATTTGTAAGGCTAGTATATAGGGAAAAGAAAACAAAAACCAAAGGTTCACAGTATAATTGAATATTACCCTAGTGAGGAGAAAGGCCTTATCATATGGTTGAAAGAACACTGGGGTAGAAAGAATCGCATGGTATTTGGATCCTAGTTTTAGCAATACTTGACCTGTGCCACTTCTGGCAAATAATACATCTATAAGATAAAAGAATGTTTAAAAAAGAAGCATGTACAAAAAAGATGGAAGCAAGTTATAACAAAAAATCAATACAGAAAGTGGATGTTTAAAGAATTTAATGCTGCACCTAAGATCTGAAAGGTGTCTTGCAGAATAGTTCTCAACTCCTCCATTCACCAAATAATGCCAGTGGGCAGCAGATGGTATTGTTAACTGAGAGAAAACTGCTGGTAAAGTTCTCTTTTGCCTTTATCCTTAGTGTTACACAACCTGTACACACTCTCCAATGTTAAAACAGACAAAAGGTTGGGAAAATGATTAATGCAAATTAGATCCAATTAAAAAGACAGTTTCTAGTCCTTTAAATGAATCCAAGCCCTGTAAGTTACATCCTAGACTACTTAAGGAATTTGACAAACTCACTCATGACCCTGGAGAGTAAACATTTGAGTCAGGATGATTTGGTTGAGGTGCTAAGGACAGATACGAGCTACACAAGGACAAAAACTTCTTAATATCATTCCCTGGTATATCCACAGTTGCAAGCCTGGTAGCTGGTATGCCTTAAAATGGCTTTACAAATGTCACTGACAATATTCCAAAATACACTTTGTTTGTTTGTGGAAACATGGAAAAGGGAGCAGTGATCACTAGGAGGCAGCATTGATTCACAAAGACCAGCTATGCCCATGTCACAGTTTCTCTGCTAAAAGAGGAATAAAGATCATAGCAAAGCATTTGACCAAATTTCACATAAATAACTTCTGTAAACAAGAAGGGAGAACAGGACTAAATATCTTGTAATTAAACAAATTTGTAGCTGTTTGAATGGGAACACTGTGCTGTTTAATGGCTCAGTATCAACCTAGGTGGAGAGAACTCTGCCTTACCAACATTGTTTTTTTCAGTCTTACATGTAAAGAATTTTTTTACCAGATTTGCCAATGACTTAAAAACGGAGAATAACAGCCCATGTTAAAAAAAAAAAGAAAGCTCCAAATTAGTAAAAAAAAAAAAATATATATATTAAAATGAATGAAAGTAAACTTGTAACATGAAATATAGAACTATATGCAAGTTCAGAATGGAGGGATCCTAGTTTACATGTGAAAGGTTAAACCTGAGTTTTCATTTTTGAACCCCACAAGTCAAGAGTATATGATTGCCATAAGACAAGTATAATCATACTATTTGTTAAATAATGTAAACTTATTACACATACCTTCCACTTAACCTTAAATCTTCAAAGTTGAAATAATCCAGTCTCTTATGGAGAGATACGGTAGCCAGAGGCACTGTGAAAAACCAAGGTGGCAAGACCCATATCTGCAACTTTTCCACTTTGGCCTTTGAATACCTAGAATAAGCTGTTTTACTATTAAATCCCATAAATCATACCAAATTTTTTAAATGGAGCCTAATTTCATTTGTTACAGCACCAAAAAATACAGTTACCATGTCTTAAAGGTAAGGATTCTGAAGCATAACTAAGACTCATCCAGGCATATATAGGTCTTTTAATAATTCTACTACTTTCCTTACTTAGCTATTTATTGAATATTCCTTTTTGCCCCATTCCAGATCTACTGAACCATATCAGTGAGAGTAGGGCCCAAGAATATTTAAAGCAACTCAGGTAATTATGAAAATGACCCACAACAAAGCTTTGCGAACTGCCTTAGATCATCTAAATATTTCTTTCAGTCAGGTTTCTAATAGATATCTGACAGCAGGAATTTGATAATATACTTTCTACTGATAGGCAGTTTATAAAAATACAAAGACCTGGTCAAATTAGAGCCCTGTTACCCATATGATCTCTCATAAGGCTCTTAACCCTGTTGAGCCTCAATTTCCCCATATGTAAAATGGTCACTGTTGTAAGCATTGAGCATCATGCCTGGCACAGGATATGCACTCAGTAAATGCTACCTACTAAATTTTGAAGGTGAAGGCCCAGAATACACTATATTGCCAGTTACGGATTGCTTTATAATTCTGGCCACTACCCAAGTAGGTTCACATGCCCTTGTGAAGGCACTGTATACTTTCTCATCCACATGGTGAATCCTTTGTTACACGTCTGAGAAACATGTTGACACAGATAGCCTATATTTATATTGAATACTAAAAAGTTTTTTATCATATCTCACAATAGGTTAAAAATTCTGAATGACTTTATAAAGGTGTTAAACAGGATGTTTAAGTAAAGCAAATATTAATAAAGTTTATCTTTAATTATCTCTTATTTTTCTGGCATCAAGATTTGTAATATTTAAGCCAAAACTGTCAGCATGTTAAGGCCATTTGACTTAGCAAAGTGCTTTAGCCTAAAAGCAATGCTTTAAACTATTACTTTGGACAGTATGTTTTCAGTTAAAAAGAAACAAATTAAGTCCTTTCTGCAGTTAATTGCCCTTTACAAAAAAGTTGAGTGAAAATATCTTTCCAGGAAAGATTTATTTCTTTGGTTCATTATTAAGCTGGGCTTAAATAGTGCCTGAATCACAGAGCACAGAGGTAATTATAGGTTAAAATTGATTTGAGGCTCTTTATAAATAAAAGTGATTACAGAATAAAAATCTCATTAAAGAACATAAAAAACTTGACACTGCATATTAATCAAGTTACCACTCATAGTTGTGGTTCCTTTACAATGCTCATGCAAAAAGAAATCCAATTTGAATTGGTTACAAGCACAGAAAGCCTACCCTGTGCACCCAGGAATAAATTGCATAGACCATTTGGTGTGTTTTCATTCATTTTCCCTACCAACCATTACCAACATCCAATTCATATTTGGAGAATGATTTTTTGACATCAGTCAGGTAAATGCATCATTATAAGATTTCAGAAGGCTACATCATATTAGAAACTCATTACCGTGATGGTTTGTCTACTGGTTTATTTGTAATTTGTGTTATGTCAAGTATGTTGGCAAATAATCTGACTTGGACTTCATTTGCACTGTTCTAATACATTTCACTTAGCAAATGAATGATCTGTATTCCTTATTTGATTTTTGGAAAGAGTTTACCCATTTAAAATACCACTATTTACTTATACAGAACATTTGGTTTATAGTTCCTCATTAAATTGTCTGTTTGCTTTACTCACTTTGCATTATTTTCATTTTATTATTGATATAAAACCATATACTACAAAAGCCAAATATTTATGATAGCCAATACTAACTAAACCCTGTCTAATCCTGAGGCAGCCCCGAGTAACAGAACATCAAGCAAGTTATGCTGGGTGACGGTGCCTGGTGACCAGTGAAGAAAACTATCTCAACAGTTCTCTTCGTACAAGTCTGATTTCTATGAAGATATTTTCCTCTGGAAAATGTTTTATTTGTGAACCAAAAAACTATCATATCTAATAAGTAGAGTCTTAAATATTAAAAAAATATGAACAAAATCTACCTCTAAACTCTGAAAGGATCTACTCCAGAAGCCCTTTTCAGATTTTATACAAATTAGCCTTCATCTTTTCTTACTGAGCTTGTATTATTTTAAGCCAAGGGTCAGCAAACTATGGCCTACAGGCCAAATCCAGCCTGCCACCTGTTACTGTAAATGAAGTTTATTTGGAACACAGCCACAACTATTCATTTATGTATTATCTATGGTTGTTTTCATATTACAACAACAGAGTTGAGTAGCTGTGAGAGACCATATGGTCCTCAAAGCTTAAAATATTTACTATCTGCATTTTTACAAAAAAGCTTGCCAATCCCTATTGCCAAACACTTTCATTTAAAAAAAAGAAAAACTATTTAAATTTTGCTTGAATTACAAGAATATAAGTATTTTTCTATTTTCTACTCACCACAAAGTTACACACTTTAGCCCTCAGTGAGTTGATGAGAATTTCTGTGGACTAGTCTAGATATCTCAACACTATTTGTACCATTGTTTCTATGGATTCTTTAAGAAGTCCACACAGCTGTACAAAGGGTTTTAGAAAACAGCCTACTTGTAGATGAGGGACATTATCCACTTAATTGATTCACTCAAATAATCAACCAATTCTACTGATTGTTGCTCTGAGAAACGATGTTTACTTCTTTTGAAAACAGGTTTATGGAACCAAGGAGTCACAGGAAGTTGTTGACAATAACAGCAAGCACTGCCTCAATATAAACATCAGGTTTATTTACTCACATTTATAAACAACAACAACAAACTCCTTTAATACTAGAAATTCCCCCATTTTTAAGATTAAGAGCTAAGATGGCTTTTAAGACTATATGTAATCCATTTTTTTCAGATAATATGCAACTTTGTTAGCATTTTTCCTTTTTTTCAACCAAACACATTTTTACCTACACTTCTAAGGTGCTAGAGAGCAACCAACCACCAAGGCAGTGTGATAAATGAGGATGGTTCATATTACAAGACTTACCTTTCTGTGACTTTCTTAAAAATAGGGAAACACACGTTTCCTGCACTAATGAAGGTGTTTGTATGCTTGATTTACACAGCACACAAATTGTTCTTTTTTTAACTAGTTTTCCGTAAGTATTAAAATATGAAATATTTGTTCTAAAAGTGCCTAAAGTAAACATTAGATTTTCATACTATTTAAGAGAAAAATAAAAACAAGCTACCAAAACTATGATTTAGGGGGAAAAAAAAAATGTTTTTCAAGGAAATGTAGAAATATTTTAATTTACATATCATATTACAATGAATCAATATGGAGTCAAAGTCTACAATTACACATTCATAAAAATTTCATACATCATCCTTAGAATAATCAGTTTCTATACAAAGATATACAGATGTCCAATGTATGTAATTTTTCCTCAGTGTGCTACAGAGTTTAGAGGTTCTGCTCGAATATTCCCCAAATCAAGCGCAGAATCTGTCTCTTCATCAATTTCTCCAATGACTGCACTGTAGTTATTTAAGGAGAAAAAAATCAGTTAAAACAATCTCATTTCTAAAAAAACTGGAAGGACACAGTAAAAACAACCTAAGGTGAAAAGCAAATATCATTTTCATGAAGTAGTGAATTGCACATTTAAGTCACGAATTACTTCAAGAAGTAATCTGAAGGCAACATTATTACAGAAGCCAGTATTAAAGGACAGACTGCATATAGTGTGATTGGATCATGAGTCTTTAAAGGAAAAAGACACATATCAGATAGATATGGTACAAAACCAATCCTATGATTTCAACTCAACAATTCAATCCACGGACCGTGTTGGGGTTGATCACAAAATCACTACTAAATAAGCAAATAAAAATGTCTACTATTTGAGTAACTTCAATGAACTAAATCCATCAATATACATACATATATATATACACACATATATGTAACATCCATTAGTTTCCTTTTCAGGATTTCTCAGTTCATTCAATTTAAATCCAAGACCAAAAAGTACAGTTCTTCACATATAAATATAATAATAGCAAAGAGTACTCAGATATCATAGCAAATGATTTTTTGATGTGATTGGCTAAGGTTAAAGCCAGCAAATCTTTCCTTGATTCAACACTACCATAACATCTGTTAACATTAATTTCATTAATATCATTCTAGGAACCAAGCCATAGCTCAGCAGCTGGATACATACATTTGTTATAGCCACACCATAGGATATGTATAAAACATTATTCCATAAAAAATTGGTTGTTTAAATTAGTTTGGCTTTAATAAGAGTAAATTCTATAGGTGAATACTTGTAATACAGAATTTGCCCAAGTGTGCTTTAAACTATATAAAGCCTCTAGCTCTCTAATAAATGATAAGTACCAAACTCTGAGAAAATATATTACGTTTTCTCAATATAAAACAAATCAATGATCTCAATTCCATCTTAAAAAAATTTAGTATCGGGGCGCCTGGGTGGCTCAGTCGTTAAGCGTCTGCCTTCAGCTCAGGTCATGATCCCAGGGTCCTGGGATC